GGCCCGGGCCCCGCAGGCCTGCCCGCCTTCCTCGGCGCCGAGCTGGGCTGCGCCAAGGCGTTCTACCCCGCGTCCCTGAGCCCTCCCGAAGCTGGCACGGCGGCCGGGCTGTCCACCGCACTCCTGCGCCCGGGCCTCAAGACGGACACAGGCGGGGGTGCGGGCGGCGGGGGCGCAGGGGCAGGGCATAGGCCTTCGTTCTCCATAGACCACATCATGGGCCACGGCGGTGGCGGGGCAGCAGCCCCAGGCGGCGGCGAGGGCTCCCCGGGATCGCCGTTCTCGGCAGCCTCGCGACCTGGGGGTCAAGCGCAGGTTTTGGCCATGCTGACTGCCCCTGCCCTGGCGCCGGTGGCGGGCCACATTCGTCTCTCGCACCCCGGGGACGCGCTCCTGTCTTCAGGGCCCTCCTTCGCCAGCAAAGTCGCCGGCCTCAGTGGCTGCCACTTCTGACCGCAGCGGGCTCGGGGCCGCTCAGGCCCGCACTCCTCAGCCTCTCCCCGGAGCTCCTGTGGTCCCCGCGGAACTCAGGGAGTGTATTTATGAAGACTCTCCAGACTCGGGCTGGAGAGTGATTTGGCACCTAAGGCTTCACGCTCAGAATCTCCCCAAGAGTTGGGACGAAGCGGGCTCTCGCTCAGGGCCAGGCCCGCGTCTACGGGAAGAGGTCCCGCGCTAAGATCCCACCCGGGTTTGGGCAGTGAAAGAGGGCAGGGAGAGTCTTCACTTCTTCCCAGCCTCCGCGTCCGCCGCCGTCCGCCGGGCTGGGCGCTGGAAGAATGCATTCCCGGCAGATTCGCCTGCCCAGGCCCTGCGGATCCCGCCAGGAACACCAAAGGCGCTGAGAGGTCTCCCCTTCTTCCTCTTCCCCTCGTTCTTTCAATTTTGAGACCCGGCCTGTCCGATATTATAATTTAAAGATATCTATTAATCTGCTTTGTGCTTTAAAAATTCGATTTTTTTGTTCTGCTTTTCTCCAAGGAAGTTCGTACCCTTTGAAATCTAAAGCTGTGTCTCCATGGGCGAAGCTGAACGGAGAGGTGAAGCAGGGTTCTCCACAATCCTTGCAGAGACCCCAGAGCCCACACCACTGAAGAAAACCTTTCCCTTTCGGGTTGGGGTGCTTTTAAAGAACCTCCTTCTTTCCTGTGGCCAGAGGGGCCAACTATCCTCATCCTAAGGCCTGAGGCTCTTCTCCAGGCCCTGCCGTATTTATTGTAGTTAAAGGCAGGGAGGTCGAATGGCAGAAGAGGGTCTGGGTCAGGGACTGGAGAGGTGGGGGAGGGTGGCCGAGGGCACTGAGCAGTGGCCCGGGGTCTTGTAATCATGTGTAAATATCTGTACAGCGGGCTGCTCCCTGCATTCTGTGTCCACTGGTGTGCGTTGATTTAGACTTCTCTACTTAGGGGAGACTGAAATTGTCCAATGGTTTGTGTGGAAGAAAAGAAAAATCTGTCTCTCCCCCGCCTTCCTCATTGGTGTCAATCGAATAAATGTATGTGAACTTCAGCAGTCACCAGCTCCGTGTGCTTGCCTGGACTCCCTTGTCCTTGTTTGGGCTCTTCCTGAAGACCCCAGGCTCCCCAACAGAGGGGACGGTGAGGAAGTGCCAGGTGGGCAGAGGAGAGTTTGGACTTTTCACATCCTGGGGGCACTTCAGTGTTGGTCTTTAGCTGCTAATGGGGCCAGGTCTCTGGGAAGCCTGTGACCCCTCCAGCACTTTCATTTTCACTCTGGTACCAGGAAGGTTTTGCTTGGGGTTGGGTGAAGAGATTATGTTTCATGTGCACCTGAGGAGTCTGGTTTAGGTTTTAGCATGGCCTGGGCAGGTCTGAGTGCTAAGTGCTCTTGAACACCATACCCACGGGGCTACGAGGAGAATAGGTCTTTCCGTGCATATTCTGAAGGTTCTGTGCATTTCTGGGTGCGGGGATTTGTGGAGCTTATGGTTTGTTTTTGTGTTGGTCTGAGTTGTCTTTTTGATTTGTGTTTGTCTGTAAATTGTATTTCAGGATATGTGGGGTTTTTTCTATGTGTTTCCGTGAGCTTGTGTCTGGGTGTATATGCTTATGACTCTTGGGTTACTGTCTCTAAGGGAAGAGAGATTTCTTTTCGCCCACACTGTAGGGCCTTCAGATGCCATACACACATGCAACAGAGTGGAAGGCTTGCATTAGGCACTGTGAGCTTCTACAGCCTGAGACGGATAGAGATACACCAGGAGCTAAAGGAGAGTCTTCGGGGTCTCTGTCAGGGCAAGGCTTCTGGCCCCTTGAGCTATACTCATAGCTGGAAGCTACTGCCATAGTGCAAATCCATTAGACTGACTAGAGTCTTCTGTAGCCCATTGAACCCTTAGCTCTCTGCTTGTGTGTGGGACTCACCCAGCCAGATTTGCAAACATGTTCAGTGAAGGTGCTGCTTTGGGTGAAGTAGAGATGGTTGCTTAGCTCTTTTCTCTGTTGTTTTACCGAGATCATTGGAGACAAGAAGTAGGGGAAGCATGGAAAGTCTTCCCAGAAAACAGACGCATGTTGAGGGCAGGAACTGAGAGACAAGAGAAGGAAGACAGATCAGAGACCCAGTGCTGAGAGCTCAAAGGTATGTGCAGAGACAAGCTACACAGGCATCCTCAGCTGGCAGTACAGGAAAGGAGAAGCAGAGGGCAGAGGCCCCCATAAAATCCAAATCGGACTAAATCAGGATGCGGGGAGGACACCAGAGCTGGGGAAGGGTCGTTGGGACTCCTGTCTCCCATTCTCTTTGCCAGTGGAGGAGAGACAAGGCTGGAGGTGTAAATGGTAAATAAACTCTGCCAGAGACTGAGCTCCTGCTCAGAGATCGAGGGAATGATGGGAGATCAAATGTAGTGGCCACCTTTCCACCATTTTAGCAAAGAGTCCAGGAGGAGTATGATTAGATTCAATGGTAAGACATGTGAAATGTCTGCTAATACTGGGATAATGGCTCCTGGCTGGCTGCTGTGTTGACTTCCATTGCTCTGAGTTTGATTTTGTTTCTTTTCACTTGAAGAGTAACTGTGACCTCTGTGTGTGTTTGTGTGTGCATGCATGCCTGTGCCTGTGTTTGCTTTCAATAAAGCACTTTGAAACTCTGTGATCTAATTTACCATGATTAGGTCACTCCCAGATATTAGGTTGGAGCTTTAAGTAAAAGATACCAGGTTGTTTTCTTTTTCTTTCTAGAAATGAGAAAATTGTTAGGCAGAATTCATACTTGATAGTAGTTAGAGGAGATACTTCCATAACTAGTATTTGCAGAAAGAGTGGCAAATTCTTCTGGATTCCTCGTTATATCTTTGGCGTGTGTGTGTGTGTGTGTGTGTGTGTGTGTGTGTGTGTGTCTGTGAGCCTACTGCTTGGTGTCAGCGTGTGTGTTGGAGGGTTTGCATAAGATAAAGGCAGAAAAATAGGGATTGGGGAAGAGGATTGAGATGTACAAGGGACTTGTAGGGGTCTTGGGGTCCCAAGCCTATGGCTCAGACCCTGGTTTCGGAAGGTAAAGGCTAGGACTGGGCCAGATAGAATTATGAGGGAGGACTGAGGACCCGAGGGAAACCACTAATGCCTAACCCGCCTTAAAAATTACCCAAAAAGGGAATTTTCTGAAGGATCATGGGCTACTCCAGAGGCCGAAGGCAGGGGAGAAGGGGAGGTGTGTGGAATTCTGGACTCTTAGACCGTCTCTGTGGACAACCTGTTAGTAGCTGAGAAGGTGGCCTTGGGAGCTGGACTGCAGGAAGGATAAAGGAGTTGCAGGGAAGGGTAAGGGGCTCAATGGGTGACTCCCTCTTGAAGTATGGGAGGTTGTTGGCTCACTTAGGGGCGCAGCCTCCTGGGCGGAGAAACAGGCCATCCCACCCAGAACAGCCCGGTGGATTCCTTCCCTGTCTGGTTGGAGCAGCTGAGGATCTGTGTCCCACAGGCCACAACAACTGGTGGCAATAATAAAATATCCAGGGGACACCTTCATCTCTCCTAGGTGAGGAAAAAAAAAAATGGTCAGAAATCGGCCTGGGGTTCAGAGAGTGCTGCTGAGAGCGGGCAGTTTAAAGGGGAAGAAAATTGGCAAATTTCACTGGTCAATTTCACTTCATTTCGTTCAATTTCGTTCAATTTCATTCCTTTTCATCCGGCGCCGCGAGGCCCGAGGCCACAAAGAGGGGGAGGGGACCTTTCCGGGCAGAATTTCCCCCATCTTGCAGGTTTACCTTCTATGGCTGTGAAGGACAGCCTCGATTCTCCAACTTCGACGTACGTTTTGAAGCTGTGGCTGTGGGCAGACATTTTATTTTATTGAAGAGTATTTGGTTTGGGTGATCGAGGCCCATCGGCGAACCTCTTGCACTTCTCTCTTGCAGCCCAATTAAAGCAGTTAATTCTTCTCCTCGCCGATTCCTCTCCATCTTTCTTTCTCTAGGGGCGCCCCGGACCACCCAGGAGCCAAAGCGGGGCGGGGGGGGGGAGGGACACTTCCCCTCCATATCCAATTTGTTCTCGCCACGGCAGGCGCGTCTTCGTGGTCACAAAGTGCTTTTTCCCTCTGATGACTTTTTTCCCCTTTTCAAAAACAAAAACAAAACAAAACAAAAAAACCCTTCAACTAGCGACCCTCCCCAGGTCCTCCCCCTCCCCCTCCGCTCCGGTTTATTTAAACTTCGCCTCCTCCAGCGCCGCCGTAGCCCGCACTTAATGAAGTTGAAGGCTCGGTGAGCCCGGGTGAAGAGGGTTTGGAATCTGTTGAAAAGGGCGTTTTGTGACACTGATTGCGGCGCGGGCGGGGGCAGGCGCAGACCAGACAATGACCGACCAGGCGGGTTTTCCTGTGCACAAGGTCAGGCGAAGAAAGGCGCCGACGCTGTTTAAACGAGGGACCCTGCAAGAGAAAGGGAGAAAAGATTTTGAATGTGGAGCGTGCCTCGCAAAGTTTCATGCTTGAGGGGAGGTGGGAAGAGGACACTCACTTCGGGTCTTTACGGACCGAATTCGGAGTTTTCTTCGAAGCCTGAGCATCCCCGCAAAGAGAAGAGAGGCGCTTGAGTTGGCGCCTAAATCATTCGGATAAGAGGTCCGAAAGGCTGTGGGCTGGGGCCTGGGGAGAGGTCCAGGAGGGACAACTAGGATGACCAGACCCAGCCCACGTTTGTTACCCGAGCTGGCGCTGTCAGGTTTCTGGAGAGATGCTGAAAGAGAGTGGAAGGTGGGCAGTGGTCTCGCAGAGTAACAGCTTCCCAAGCCTTTCGTCTGTCACAGCATTTGAGAGCAAACAAACGTTAATTGGACTTTTGGAGCGGAATTACTCTGCCTTTTTTCTTTCTTTTAAAGGTCTTTGTAGAAGCGTATCAACGGAGAAATCTGTTGGGAGAACAGGTTCCCAGCTCCCGCTTTGGGAACACATCTGTGCGCTGGCTGGTGGGCGCGGCGCGGCGCGGCGCGGTGCGGGGCGGAGCGGGCACCGCCTCCTTCCGCAGCGGAGCGCGAGCTGCAGCTGGAAGCCGCGGCCGCCGGGGAGGTACAGAGGCTCGGGCAGTCCGGCCAAGGACAGCTTCCTCAGTGCGCCCTGTTGCTGGTCCCCGCGCCGGTACCCCCGGGCTTGTTTCCGACCCTCGCTGGGTTCCCAGCTTGGAGCCCTGGGTCCTTGCGAAGCGCTGTCTTTTCGTTCCACGCGGACTCGAAGCGGAAATCGCGCTCAGTTGCGGCTTTCCGATTCTCCACGCGGCAGGGATCTGCGCTTGTTACCTTACTTCTGGCTCGCTAGCCTCCTCCCAGAAACGTCTTCATCCCCAGGGATCACAGAGTCCCAGTCTTCACCGCCCCTTTTGTCCCCGCCCAGTTACGCCGGGACCCTGGCCTCCCGAGGAGTGCGCCTCAGACCCAGCGCGCGCGGGTTGCTCGGAAGGACGCGCGCAGCCGCGGTTCCCGGAGTCCTGCGTGGTCACCACCCCAAGCTGGCCTTCGGGAGGCCTGTGCCAGTTTCCCCAGAGATTAGAAAACTGCCTCCGGCTGGTCTCTCCTCGGAAGCATTTCTGACTGTGCTGGCAGAACTATCTTTGGAATTACGGTTGCGTGGATTTTAGGTCGGAAAAGAGCTAATTATTGGAGGAACAAAACATTTAAATTTACCCCTTTGATTTCTAAAAAATTACTGCCGACCTAAAAAGTGTATTTGAAGTTATTTGCGTGGACACCGCCAATGCACGTGTGTGTGTGTGTGTGTGTGTGTGTGTGTGTGTAGGGAGATCTGAGGGTACAGGAGTGGACTTTATTGTTCAAGTTAATCTGTCGCCGCTTACAGACGACAGTCGCTTTGCGCCCTCTCCCCCAGCAGGTGTCGGTGCCACTTGGACTTCAGGGCTGCGTTGCCACATCTATTCACATGCAGATGTGCTGGGTCAGCCTAGGAGTGGGAAGTCGGAGAAGCCCGAGCTTGCCTTGTGAAGCCTCTTCTGGGCCCTCATTTAGGTTCGCGTCTCAATTACAAGTCG